TCACATACATTCTGCGGCTGGTTTGAACTCATTACTTAGCCAAAACTCTGGCAGATCACTCTGCGCTTTCTGTAGAGTGAAACTACAGAGCAAATTCATTGTTTGGCAGAGTTTTTCGTTTCCAGTGTTGCCATTGCTCCACCACCTTCCCCACCCGCTCGCCGTAACACTCGCAGCATCCGCAACACTCGCAATATTCGTACTCACCGCTCCTATGGACGCAAGTGAGCGTCATCTTCGATTGGATTGACCTTATCTCTTTGATCTGTTTCCGCTCTTCTTCGATTGTGCTGCTGGCTGACTGACACTCGACTGACTGACTGACTCGACTCGACTCTTCGCGATATTGCGCTGTCGGATGGCAAAAACATAACCCTATAATACCGTTTTCTTAAATCTTTTGCATACCAAATGACGTGTCGGTGTCAACTCCCACAGAAAAAGCTCCCTCCAGAGCGCACAGATCGATGCCAACACGGATCGAACACTCGTTTCCCTTGTCTTTGTGTGCGTCGGGGTGGTGTAAGACATTCATTGCTAGTGTTTTAGGTTACGTTGGCTTGCTTTGTCTTGTCAAGATCCATTCGCGGAGCACGGCTTTTGGTCTCATTCGATCGACACAACTCCTTGGAACAAATAATCGTCACGATGGCGAAACCGCGGCTCGGAAAGAACGCCAAAGTCATCATCAAAAAGCAGAAAGCACCTGGTATCATCGTAGAGACCTTAGGGAAAGCTTTTTGGAAGGTTGAACTTGTGGACCGGACAAATGGGAAACCTACAGGAGCTTTTGTTGAGTTGAAATCACAAATGATTCGGCATCCAAAAGAGGGGGAGTTTCCTGCCACCGTGGATCGACGAGAAGAGGAGCTCGACCATGCTGCAACGCCAACCGAGGAGGAATCGAAGAATCCTGACAACAATCAGAGTGACGAATCCGACCAACCTGCCGATGAAGGGATTGAAGTCCAGCTTGAAGAGAACTCGTCTTTGGATGGGTCGATCCAGGAGTCCAAGTCCGAATCTGACGAGGAGCAACCCAACGTCAAGGAGGAAACCAAGACTGATGTTGCCACGCTGACTGTTGAGACTGTAGTTGATGAGGATGATGATGAGGTCACTATCGATCCGGACGAGGATATCTATGCCCCAGGACGCCGATCTGGATATCCCCAACACAAGAAACTCCAAGTGGTACCTGACCGCGGATCCCACAAGTACTTGGCCACCCAGGATGCAACACTGGACCAGGTCTTCAC